TTTCAGAGCACTCTCAAACTATCGTTTGCTGGTTGCCCTCATTGGCTTATGGGCCATATTAGCGCTCTCTTGGGACCCTTGTCGGCGCTCTCGGGCCCCTCGTGGGCCCCTAAGGACAGCGGTGCGCGACGGCTCCCGCCTGGGACTTCCTCGCACGGCACCCCAGAGAGTGAGTGAGAGAATGCGTGACTGACTGGCTGATGATGCGTAAGTGAGTGAGTGGGTGAGCGAGTGATGAGCGAGCGAGTTGCTGAAGATCATGATGCTGCGGACGATGAGCAGAACTTATCAAAACTGTTCCCTGGTTGTTCCCAACCATCCTGTGGTGTTGGGTCCTCGTTTTGAAGAGACAGCGCCCCGCGTTCCCTCCTTCCTCCTCCTCCCGCTGCCCCCTCCCTCCCCCCCCCCTCCTTGCCTCTGCATCATGACACACCCCTCACACGTTTCGTGCCAACATAGGGAGCTCCACCTAAGGTCTCAGTGGCGCAGTTCGCATGGGGGTTCGGGCCATTTCGGCACACCCCGCGCACGTTTCGTGGCCCCATAGGGGGCTCCACCTAAGGTCCCAGTGGCGCAGTTCGGATGGGGGGCTCGGGCAATTTCGGCACATCCCTCACACCACCTAAGGTCCCATGGTGGCGGAGTTCGCATGGGGGGGGCTCGGGCCATTTCGGCACACCCCTTACACGCTTCGTGGCCCCATGGGGAGCTCCATCTAAAATCCCAGTGGCGCAGTTCGCATGAGGGGCTCGGGCCATTTCGGCACACCCCTCACACGGTTCGTGGCCCCATAGGGAGCTCCACCTAAGGTCCCAGTGGCGCAGCTCGCATGGGGTGTTCTGGCCATTTCGGCACACCCCTCACACGCTTCGTGGCCCCATAGGGAGCTCCACCTAAGGTCCCAGTGGCGCAGTTCGCATAGGGGGCTCGGGCCATTTCGGCACACCCCTCACACGCTTCGTGGCCCCATGGGGAGCTCCACCTAAGGTCCCAGTGGCGCAGTTCGCATGGGGGGCTCGGGCCATTTCGGCACACCCCTCACACGCTTCGTGGCCCCATCGGGAGCTCCACCCAGTGGCGCAGTTCGCATGGGGGGTTCGGGCCATTTCGGAACACCCCGCGCACGTTTCGTCGCCCCATAGGGGGCTCCACCTAAGGTCCCAGTGGCGCAGTTCGCATGGGGTGCTCGGGCAATTTCGGCACACCCCTCACACGCTTCGTGGCCCCATACGGAGCTCCACTTAAGGTCCCAATGGCGCAGTTCGCATGGCGGTCTCGGGCAATTTCGGCACACCACTCACACGCTTCGCGGCCCCATGGGGAGCTCCACATAAGGTCCTAGTGTCGCAATTCGCATGGCGGCCTCGGGCCATTTCGGCACACCCGTCGCACGTTTCGTTGCCCCATGGGGAGCTTCACCTAAGGTCACAATGGCGCAGTTCGCATGGCGGCCTCGGGCAATTTCGGCATACCCCTCACACGCTTCGCGGCCCCATATAGGGAGCTCCACCTACGGTCCCAGTGGCGCAGCTCGCATGGCGGCCTCTGGCTATTTCAGCACACCCCTCACACGGCTCGTGGTCCCATAGGGGGCTCCATCTAAGGTCCCAGCGGCGCAGCTCGCATGGCGGCCTCTGGCAATTTCGGCACACCCCTCACACGCTTCGTGGCCCCATAGGGAGCTCCACCTAAGGTCCCAGTGGCGCAGTTCGCATGGCGGCCTCGGGCAAGTTTGGCACACCCCTCACACGTTTCGCGGCCCCATAGGGGGCTCCACCTGAGGTCCCAGTGGCGCAGTTCGCATGGGGGGCTCGGGCCAGTTCGGAACACTCCTCACACGTTTCGTTGCCCCATGGGGAGCTTCACCTAAGGTCACAATGGCGCAGTTCGCATGGCGGCCTCGGGCAATTTCGGCACACCCCTCACACGGCTCGTGGCCCCATAGGGAGCTCAACCTAAGGTCACAGTGCGCTCGCATGGCGGCCTCGAGCAATTTTGGCACACCCCTCACACGCTTCGTGGCCACATAGGGAGCTCCATCTAAGGTCCCAGTGGCGAGCTGCCATGGCGGCCTCGGGCAATTTCGGCATACCCCTCACACGTTTCGTGGCCCCATAGGGAGCTCCATCTAAGGTCCCAGTGGCGCAGCTCGCATGGCGGCCTCGGGCTATTTTGGCACACCCCCACACGCTTCGTGGCCCCATAGGGGGCTCCACCGAAAGCGGTGCCCGCAATGCGGTATACCTCTCGCAGCTGCATATGGTTGGGTCCTTCGTCAGGCTAATTTTCCATTGGCGGGGTGAGTGAGTGATGTAGACTGGAGAGAGGTGCGTGAGTGAGTGAGTGGGTGAATGATGCTGGTGATGGTGACGGTGATGATGGTGATGAGGATGATGATGGTGACGATGATGATGACGATGATGCTGATGATGATGATGATGACGATGATGAGTGTGTCGGCTGTCATATGTAAGTGTTGATGTCACGAACGCTACGCTGCTGTTGTACTGGGGCCCTCTGTTGCGTCATTAACGCTGCTGATTTGCGGGCCCTTTTTTGCGTCAGTAACGCTCGGGGCCTCCCGTTGCCCTTATTAGCCCGAGTAACGCTCGGGGCCATTCTTGGCGTCAGTAACGCTCGGGGCCCTCTTTTGCGTCAGCAACGCTTGGGGCTCTTAATGTCTCGGGGCCCTTTGTGCGTCAGTCACGCTGCTTATGGTCTGGGGCCCTCAATGGTGTCAGTAACACTTGCAAGTGGTACGCGTAGCCGTTTTGGCTCAAGTGCGAGTTGCCTTCACCAGCACTGAGTTCGCGGCATAGACATGCTGCTCAGCGCCATTTCGGTCGAGCTGGAGCAGGCGTCTGCATACAGGGATAGGCCCTTGATCGGAAAGCTCGTGGAGTCGCTGGTCGCCAAGATCAACAGGCTCCCCACGCTGGACGTCGAGGGCGCGAACCAGCTCCAGAGGAAAATCCGCGACCTGTGCCTGCAAGATGTCCATAAGGAAACCCTCGGTGCTGCTGTCGACTCCAAGCTCGAAGCCCATTTGGCCGACGAGAAGGAGGACGTGGAGAGCAAGAACCAAACGCTGACGAACTGCGAGGCCTACACTTCGGCGTCGCTCAAGGAGGGGCCCCAGAATCCCAAGCTCGATATCCAGACAAAGATGCAGATTACAGCTGACTTCCTCGTGCTTTGCGGCTGCGCGAACCCGTGCGAGCAGACGTACAAGTGGTGGCTTGCACTTATCCTCCGCGCGCATTTCACGAGTTCGGCGTGGCCGTCTTACAGGACCACGTTCGGGCTGCTCGAGGACTTCAAGGATTGCGTCATCGCATCTCGGAAGCACTTCTTCTTCACGAAGATCAAGAAGTACCCGATGAGCCCATACGACCTGCCTCTGCCGATCTTCCAGCACGTATACGGGCGTGGCCGCCCTGATCCGCTGAACATGGAGCGCCTTCCGGCCACGACGAAACACATCCCACTCCGCAAGAACACCAACCTGATCGTCAAGGAGGAGAAGGCGAAGAAGGATGTGCAGGCTGCGCCCGACTGGGCGAAGGCGTTGCTCAAGCTCAAACCGCAGCAGGACATCAACATCCACATGAGCGACCGCGGCAAGAAGGAGGAGCAGGCCGACGGCTACGACACTGAGCTCGAGGGCGAGGCGCTCAACGACAAGAGGAGGCGGTTGCTCAGTCGGGTACAGAGCAGCCATGCGTGCGGACTTGGCCTTCGGATGCGCCCGCCGCCAGGCGCCGCGCCAGCCCAGCCGTGCGGCGCGCCGAGGTCGACCCCGAAGCCTAGCGCGGCACCCGCCGCGATCGCTGACGGCGAGCCCGCCCTCCAGGACGATCACGACTCCGATCCAGATGCGGTGGGCGACATACGGAAGTTCGAGAAGGCAGCCATGCAGGCCCTCCTGACGAAGGAGGAGAAGGCGAAAGAGAGGGCGAAGGAGAGAGCGAAGGAGAAGGCGGCGGAGAAGGCGGTGGAGAAGGCGAAGACGGTGACGGAGGCGCCAAGGAAACGCCCCGCCGCTGCAGGGGCGCCACACCCTCCTCTCAAGCGGCCTGCCGCTTGGAAGAACGATGCCCCGCTGCCAGCTCCAGACCACGCCTGCCCGAAGATCGACGGCCCTCCGACCCACTGGAATGGCGGGGTCATCTACGTTGCCAAGAGGATCAACGCGTTCAGGGTTATCTTGGACAGCAACAACCCCAAGTGCGAGAAGCGCGCGGGCTGGGGCTCTGACAAGCCGACTGCGGCTGCTTGGCACAAGGCGAAGCAACTCATCCTCGACGCCCGCGCTGCTGAGCGGAAGGGAAAGCGGGCCATGTGATGAGCGTGCTCAGTGAGTTTTGATTTTCTTGCGGCGTCTAGTTGGCAGTTTAATGTTATTTACGAGTAGCGGGCCGCTGTGCGCGAGGCGTTTGTTGATTCTCCAGTGTCGTGCCTGCTATGTGCGTGCCAGTCGTTTATGTGTTACCGTGTGCTCTGAGCTATGGGGTTCGGCTCGCGAGAGCGGCGAGCGCATGCGTGTATATGGGAAGCAGCGCTGTTCAACCTTCCCAACGGAGTGCTGCAAGCATGCATGGTGCTCGCAACTGAATCTTACACGCTGTCACAGACAAACCAGAAACACAGCATCGGCATACATGTCGCCATGGCTGCCCCCGCCCCCTCCTGCATGGCCAACTTCGTGCAAGCCAGCCTTATACATTCTATCCGTAGCCATTTTTGCTCGAGTGATTACTAGTTCGAGTGCTGGCTGCGCGTTGTTTTCACACATGCCGGGTCGCCCCGAGAAGCTCATGCGTCTTGAGAAGTTCCGCAGGCGGTTGCCACATGTATCGCAGAGCGCCCTCAGTGCAATACTGGACGAAGTCGAGAAGCACGGTGTGCCCGAGTCGCACAGCAGGGCATCGATTTATGAGGCCCGTGAGTTGGTTGCACGATCCATGACTGATTATGGCCCCTTGCACGCCCATATTGAGATGGATACGCTGGACGGAGAAACTCAGACGCTATGTATTGCCCAGCCTCTTGCGTTGATATCGCATGCGTACCAGATCTCCAATCAATTCGCGTCCTTCCTGAGTCGGCTTCACGCCGAGAACCCGTCCTCGGTTGAGAGGCCGTGGCGTGTGTGTCTTTACAGTGACGAGGTCACGCCTGCCAACCCATTGGCAGTGGATCAGAAAAAGAAAGTGCAAGTGATGTATTTTTCTCTATTAGAATTTGGAGCTGCAGCCCTTTGTAGAGAGGACTTGTGGTTTCCGTGGCGCAAAAGCGCAGTCGCGACGTAATGAAAGTGAAAGGTGGCATGGCTCAGATGTTCGGAGTCGTGCTGAAACAGCTTTTCCTGGAGCCCGCTGGCAATCTAACGACTGGGATCGTATTGCGGCGGCCTGGTAGTGAGCCCATTCGCCTCTTCGCGGTGCAAGGGCCATTCGTGCAGGACGGAGGGGCCCACAAAAGCACATGGCATTGCAAAGGCGAAGGAGGCACCAAGCACTGCCTACTATGCAAGAACCTATTTGCAGAGAAGAGCGAAATCCACGATGAAGATGGGAGCGAGCTCGTCACATGCAATGCTATGAAGCACAGCGACCTCGCCCTGGCAACAAGTGCAGAACTGCGATATGCGTGCAATCGGCTCGCCGCGAAGCGGCACGTTGACGACCCGAATACGTTCGCAAGGCGACAGATGGCCTTGGGCTTCACATTCACGTTGTACAACCTCCTGTGCGACCCGACCCTCAACGATGTTGTGCAGCCGAGGGAGCAGCTCATGTTCGATTGGATGCACTGTCTATTCGTGGGAGGCGTTTGGGCTGTCTGTGTGAACTTAGTGTTGGAGTCAATCAGGGCGGCAGGCATGACCAAGATTTACGACAGTTGGTATGGCTACGCTAAGTTGTGGCATTGGCCTGGTAGGACTAAGGCGGATCGCGTGTTTGAAGTCTTTGACCCTAAGCGCAGGGATGCAAACGCAAAGTCTAAGTACTTCAAGTGCCAAGCCAGCCAAGGCCTTTCAGTATACAACTTGGTCCACTACTTTCTCCAGCAGGTCGTGGTGCCCAAGGGGGTTTCCTTGGCGGAGATATCTGCGTATGCTGCGCTATGCGATGTCATCGATTGCTTGACGTTGGCAAACCGTGGTTGCGTTGCACACGGGCAAATTATCCAGTCAACCGAGATGTTCCTCGAGAAATTTGTTGTTGCATGGGGCGTGGCGCACACGATACCAAAATTCCATTGGCTCCTACACATGGAAGATTCCTTCCGCATGTACGATACACTCTTGAGCTGTTTCGTTCATGAACGGAAGCATAAAGAGGTTCGTCGATATGCAGTGGATGTGAGAAACACAAAGTCTTTGGAAGCCAGTGTCTTGCACGAGTGCACTGCTCAACACATGGCCCTGTTAGCAGACATCGAGAGTCGCGTATGTGATTTCACCCCTGGCTGGATCAAGCCTCGGCCAGCTACTAAGAGGTTGAAGGAATTCGTTGAGCTTGAGCTTCAGTTGAAGCTGGAGGCGGGTGAGTGCATGTGCTCAATTCAAACACGGTTTCCCCCTCATGGGTGCAGTTGTGTTCGTGATGTAGTTCTGGTCAAGGATGGTGGCAGCCTTTTTGCCGCATACGTGTGGGCTCATCTAGAAGTGCGACGGGTTCCGATTTCTGTTGTGAGCATGTGTCCTTTGAAAACAGTTGACAATATGAACGGGGTAGCAGTGTGGCAGTTTTCTCAGGGTGCCACGCTCATCGATACTGAGACCATTTGTGAAGCGCTCGTGTGGACCAAGTCTGGTAATGATATGATCACGCTTCTTCCTCGGCAGCACTGCGGATAGGCGTGCGTGGCATTGCAAAACATTAGCCTGGCGAAGGACCCAACCATATGCAGCTGCGAGTGCCGAGCTGAGGGTTTCGGTGGAGCTCCCCATGGGGCCACGAAGTGCGTGAGGGGTGTGGTGACATGGGCATGCTGTGTGCGGGGAGGCGCACGCGAACGTGGCAACTGGGGCCTTGGGTGGAGCTCCCCATGGGGCAACGAAGTGTGTGAGGGGTGCGTCGATATGGGCATGCGGCGGGCGGGGGGGGCGCATGCGAACGCGGCCACTGGGCCTTTGAGTGGAGCTCCTATGTGGCCACGAAGTGTGTGAGGGGCGCGCTGACATGGGCATGCGGCGGGCGGGGAGGCGCATGCGAACGCGGCAACTGAGGCCTTTGGAGCTCCCTATATGGGGCCACGAAGTGCGTGAGGGGTGTGCCGAAATGGGCATGCGGTGGGCGGGGAGGCGCATGCGAACGTGGCCGATGGGGCCTTGGGTGGAGCTCCCTATGTGGCCACGAAGTGCGTGAGGGGTGTGCCGAAATGAGTATGCGGTGGGCGGGGGGGGGGCGCATGCGAACGTGGCCCTTGGGTGGAGCTCCCAATGGGGCCACGAATAGTGTGAGCGGCGTGCCGAAATGGACATGCACGTGTGCGGGGTGGGGGGGGGGGCATGCGAACGTGGCCACTGGGGCTTTGGAGCTCCACGAAGTGTGTGAGGAATGTGCCGAAATTGGCATGCGGTGTGCAGGGGGGCACATGCGAACGTGGCCACTGCATGGGGCCTTGGGTGGGGCTCCCTATGGGGCCACGAAGTGTGTGAGGGGTGTGCCGAAATGGGCATGCGGTGGGGCGCATGCGAACGTGGTCCATGGGGCCTTGGGTGGAGCTCCGTGGCCACGTTCGCATGCGCCTCCCCGCCCACCGAATGCCAATTTCGGCACACCCCTCACACGCTTCGGGGCCCCATAAGGAGCTCCACCCAAGGCCCCATTGCAGTGGCCACGTTCGCATGCGCCTCCCCGCCCACCGCACGCCCATTTCGGCACACCCCTCACACACTTCGTGGCGGAGCCCCACCCAAGGCCCCATGGACCACGTTCGCATGCGCCTCCCCGCCCACCGCATACCAATTTCGGCTCACCCCTCACACACTTCGTGGCCCATAGGGAGCTCCACCCAAGGCCCCAGTGGCCACGTTCGCATGCGCCTCCCCGCCCACCGCATGCACATTTCGGCGCACCCCTCACACACTTCGTGGCCCATATAGGAGCTCCACCCAAGGCCCCAGTGGCCACGTTCGCATGCGCCTCCCCGCCCACCGCATGCCCATTTCGGCACACCCCTCACACACTTCGTGGCCCCATAGGGAGCTCCACCCAAGGCTCCAGTGGCCACGTTCGCATGCGCCTCTCCGCCCACCGCATGCCCATTTCGGCACACCCCTCACACACTTCGTGGACCCTTAGGGAGGTCCACCCACGGCCCCAGTGGCCACGTTCGCATGCGCCGCCCCGCCCACCGCATGCCCATTTGGGCACACCTTCACACACTTCGTGGTCACATATAGGCAGCTCCACCCAATGCCCCGTGGCCACGTTCGCATGCGCCCCCCCGCGCACCGCATGCCCATTTCGGCACACACCTCACACACTTCGTGGCTCCATATAGCTCCACCCAAGGCCCCATGGCCACTTTCGTATGCGCCCCCCCGCCCACCGCATGCAAATTTCGGCACACCCCTCACATCGTGGCCCCACAGGGGGCTCCACCCAAGGCTCCAGTGGCCACGTTCGCACGCGCCTCCCCGCCCATCGCATGCCCATTTCGGCACACTCATTTCGGCACACCCCTCACACACTTCGTGGCCCCATAGGGAGCTCCACCCAAGGCCCCAGCTGGCCACGTTCGCATGCGCCCCCCCGCCCACCGCATGCACATTTCGGCACACCCCTCGCCCACTTCGTGGCCCCATAGGGAGCTTCACCCAAGGCCCCATGGCCACGTTCGCATGCGCCTCCCCGCCCACCGCACGCCCATTTCGGCACACCCCTCACACACTTCGTGGCACCATAGGGAGCTCCACCCAAGGCCCCATGGGGCTTGGGTGGGGCTCCCTATATATAGGGTCACGAACCGCGCGAGGGGTGTGCCAGAGGAGGAGGAGGGAGGAGGGAAGAGGGAGGAGGGAGGAGGGAGGGGGGAGGAGGAGGAGACGCGGGGGACCGTCTCCTCAAAACGAGGATCCAACAACACAGGTTGGTTGGGAAATATTATCAAACATAGCGTGTCCTTATTCTAATGGCTTGCGCCATTCCGAAGACCGACGGGGGGAAGTTAGGGGCCGCAATGGGCTCTACAGCTCGAGTTAAGTACCGAAAACTGAGAGCGTCTGTCAAGATAACTCGAATTATACAAATAGGTTTGCGGACCTAGCTCGGCTAGCAGACCGAGTTCAGACCTCTGGATTCGACAGACGAACGCGCCTGGTGATTCTGGATGCGATAGCTGTGCTGACCAGCTCTGTAGCTGCCCTACAGCTCGAGTTAAGTACAAAATACTGACAACGCGTATCAAGATGACTCGAAACGGCCGATCCCGCCCGTGTGCTTTTTCGCAGTAAAGCTACCTGATCGAGCTCAGATCAAGATGGCGAGCGGGAATAAGATCGAATATCACGGGAAGAGATACTAGAGCTCTAACGAATTGTTGAATTTTGAGAACAAAATTTTCAACCGACCAAAAGTCACCAAAAAGTACGTCGAGATTTTTCTTGCCAACTAGCTCTTCAGCGCCCCGGAATTACTCTTAGCTTCCAGCAATAACTTGCTAAGGGAAGCTCTACGAGTTATTCGCACTTTGTAGCGTCCAAAATCCGAAGAGCGCAGACACCCCCGGGGACGGGAATCTTTTCTGGGAGCTCTGGGGGGCCCCCCTGCAGCGCTGCTGAAGCGCTGCCAGAACCGTCTCCATGCGTGCCTGCACGCATGCGGGCTCGCTTGGAAGCTTGCCGGAAGCTCTCCCGGACCCGTTGCCGGGTCGCCGGAGGCGCTGCGAGGCCTGTGGACCGCCGTGGAAGAGCTCCTGGCGGGCACCACCACCGTCCACCACCGTCCGGTTTCTTATCTTAAACCCTTTAGCTCTCAGCGAGCTCTCCGGGAAAAACCACCGAAAAGTTGCCACATTGTCCGCCTCGGCGGGGTGGGCCAACTAGCCCCACCCCGCGCCGGAATTCCTCTAGCTCATCGATGCCGAAGAGCTCTACTTGAACGACGGGGGGGTTTGGCACTGTTTAGGATGCTTAGACGAAGTAGTGCACATACATTGTAAAACTATACATGCTACTTGTCTGTGAGTTGCAATCGTGTTGCATGTTACATATATATGTATTAAGTTCCTAACGCACTTGTCGGCATTGCCATGT